CAGATTTTCTGGGAATGAGTCCCAGAAGAATGTATTTTAAACAGCAGCCTGGGTAATGATGTTTCTGAAAACCTTTGCTTTCTGACTTTTCATAACTCTTGTGCTTAAACTAAGAAAGAAAAGGTATATTTAGTTATACCACTGCTCAAATTTAGTTTCAGTTCGTGTAGATTACATATCTTTGTCCATATAGTTCTGAACCTCTACAAAACCTTTCTTCTCTTAAAAAAATTTCTACTGGCTTTGCATCCCTTTACATAAATTGAGGTTTTTGGTTTTTGTTTGTTTGTTTGTTTGTTTTTGAAGGTGAAGGGGAAAACTGAGAGCTAGTGGAAGAATTAAAAAATCATTTGTGATAAAATGTTCATATTTTCATGAACACATCCATTATGTTATTTATAATATGAAAAACAAAAATCAACTTATTCTTTTTCTAAGGACCTCTGAGGCACTGGAATTTTAAATTTTGTAATTGATTGTTTTAATTTTTTCCCTTTTATTCTTTCTCATTATGTAGTTCTGTCCAACTACAACAATCATTCTAAGGCTCATAAAATAAGTAATTTCACTGACAAGCAGCGCTTTTCTTCAATCCTCCCTTGTTTAAAAAACAAATGCTATTAACACTTAGTAAATTCAGCAATTTCCAATACATGTGGGAGTGCTGAATACACATTGAAATATCATGAATTAGGATGTGGTGACTCTGTGGAGGTCCCAAATTGGTAGGCATTTTCTACAGTGGAGCAGAACCTTTAAACAAGCTCCCTTCCCCTACTGAACAAAGCTTTTATTTACTCCCAAGATCTTCTCCATCCATTGACTTATTGTCACAGAAGTTGATTTTGTTATAATACATACAGACTTTACCCATTCTAATAAATAATTTCATTTTGAATGATTTAACTGAGGGGGGAAGCTTTCAAACATAAAAAAAAAGCTGCACTATAAGAAGAAAAGCAGCTGGGAGGCATCTTTGGAAAAATATTATTCTCCATACCATCTTGCAACTCAGATAGAGAAATAGAGGATGAGGCCTTTCAACACTCTGGTGGCCACCTGGCATGGAATGGCCTTCCAGTCTTGGAAGTGCACTTTGCCCATGGTTTCTCAGAGAGAACCTAACCAACTCCACTCCTTCTCTCCAGAATATAGGCCTAGCCAGTTCCAAGCAGGGGAGGTGACCTAGAGATGTCTCCTGTCATACCTACCATCTCTCTGGAATCCATAAGACTCACTCAAACTCCGCCTGCCCCCACTCCCTTCTCCACCCAGTGAAGTCCAAGTCTTGCTCTATATATAACCCCTGGTCTGTAGTGACTGTTATTTTGATCAAATTTTACCTGTGGAAATATTTGGAATGAGGGGAGAGGCTCAGGGGAGGATATAAGTAAAAGGGATGAGCTTGTGGAGTGGGGTGATAGGTGGGCCAGCATCTAAACTCATGCTGGAGGCTCCTACCCCAGCTGCCAATTAAATCTCCAGGATATGCATGGTCTCTAGGAATTAGGTCCAGAAGGGTGTCCGAAGCTGGCGGGTGGGGAAGGTGGGGGTGGGGGGGAGAGAGGGGAGGCGAAGTCCACCAAGCAGTTTGAATCTCACTTCTTACTGCACTCTCTCTGGGGTCCTGGGAACTCCCATTTCGATCCTAGCACAGCTCTGGGAAGCCACAGCCCCGGGCTGAAGTCATCTGGAAAAAACTTGTGAGGAGTCCCGAGAAGGGGGCGCGAGCTGAGTGAGACCAGAGGCCTAATCCCCCAGGTGACTTGGAAATAGTTATAGCTATGCACTCATCTCATATTTATCATTTACTGAAAAACGAACTACGTTCTGCATAGGCACAGCGAGGTTTAAAGCGGGGCCAACTGAGATTGTTATGCTTCTCAAAAAGGACTAAAGGGTTTAAAATTGTAAAAACACTGTACCAAATATTCAGCCTTCCATTAAAAAAGTATTTTTGAGATGATGTGGATCAATTTAGTAACAGGAGTTATTCACATGTTGAGAAAATGGTTTCGCTTAACTCTACCATCATGGTTAGTAGTGATGAAATAATATGTAATTAGCAGACATGTAAAATATTGCATGACATTGATAAAATAGGCTACATACATTATGGCTACTTTAGGAAGACAATGGAATTTTTTCAATTCAAGTCTCCAAAGAAGTAAATAAATGTCTTGATTTCTGAAAGGGTTATTATTGTTCATTTAGAATGTAGCACAATCTTGAAATCATGTACACATTGGGAAAAATGATTTATGTGTTATAGGGAGGAAAAATCCTGAGTTTCCAAAGAGTATTAAACAAATAATTATTTTCATAAAAATATAACTATTTTATTAACAAGCCAAGGTAGAAGTAACAAATCAATTAATGTAATTCATCAGGCATGTATGTATAACAATCTAGTAATGTGGAATTTTATTATATACATTTTCAGTCATATCAAAATAAAAAGTCACAGAGAGTATATCTGCAGAAACTAAAAATATGTTAAAATAACACCTTACATATTTGCATTAATATTAAATGATTCATACAAGTTATTTTTAAGCACTGTAGGTCTCAAAGCATTGTATGAATCCCAACATAATTACCCACTATACATATTCTTAAATCAAAATAATCATAGATATAGTATATATTAATGTTAAATATATAACTACTTATCATTTATAATTAGTACTCCCAAACATTTATATATGTGTATAATTTCACATATGAAGCTGGAGAATTGCACATATTTTCAAGATATATTATATCTAAGTCATGTGTTCTGTCTTTAGATATTTGCTGAAAATTGGGCTTTTCACAGTTTTAAATAACTTTACACATCATTCCTGAAAATTTATTTAATATCTAAATAAAAATAAATAAATGGCTACTTTCAATGGACCTATCATTTTACTATTTTGTAACATTTCATACAATAAATATACTATAAAATAAATATTTTCTCTAACTTAAAGTAATCACAATATTGTACTATATACTCCTAAAATAGAAAACACATAATTATAATATTTACACTGATTAAAATTTTCTACTTTGTTAATACAGATATCTGGTACAACCTAGAAATTTGAATAAAATAGCTTTATATAGAGAGTGATATTAACAACTAAGATATTCAAAAACATATCATAGTAGCTAAACATTTGGTGGTACGAATGAAGCACCATTTAAAAAATCAACAGAATCATGCTATGAAATCCTTCACAAGCTCCTGCTACGGATTCTTTAAACAACTGAACTTTCATAATAATGTGAAAAAAGTCTAATTTACCCTATAAATTATTTTTAGACTTTTGCCAGTGGAAATTGAGGCACCTAATTAAAACACTGGTAGTTTTAACAGTTTACATTTACATGTCAATAAACTTATTAACGTTACAATAAAAAACTAATTACCAGTGTTAATTGGTCTCTGCTAGCCTCTGCATTTTCAAAACATATGTTCCAGAGGAAATGATGCACTAAGAGTTTAATAAAGCCTCATTACGTTGTTTTTAGACTAATTATCCAAGTTCTAATAGGATTCTGCATTATATTTATATATTTATATATATTTCCCATTATTCTGGCCATAGGAAATTACACCGGCTTGTATCAAGATTTGTCTGATGTGGAGACAGAACTACCTAGGATTCTGTTTTTCAAGAAGTAGGCCTCATTTTTAAAAAA